TTTTGCATTTGTCTAAGCCAAACTCCATTTGTATGTCCTTAGTGTATGTGTGTGTGATTTGTAGGAGTTGATGAAGTTGTTTCTGTGTGGATGCCTAAAGTTTTATGTCGTCCATGTACACGAGATGTGACAGTGTAAACTGTGTTGTTTTTTCATGTCTGATATTGTAGCCATAATGCATATTGTTTAACATGTTGGATAATGGGTTCAGGACTAGGCAGAACCAGAGAGGACTCAAGGAATCTCCTTGAAAAATTCCTCGCCTAATGAATATCTCATTTGTTTGTATGGAAGTGTTACTAACCCTGAGATGCAGTGTTGTTCTCCAGTGCTGTATAGTGTTTTCGAAGAACGCAATGAGTAATGGATGTATTTTGTACATGTATAGAATATGTAGCAGCCAACTGTGTGGAACACTGTCGAATGCTTTTCTATAGACTATATATGCCATGTGTATATTTCTGTGTTGTTTGTGTGCTTGCCGTAAAATCACTGAATCTATGAGTAACTGTTCTTTGCATCCCCTGTGATTTCTACAGCAACCTTTTTGTTGTTCTGTAAGAATGTCGTGTTCTTCAACGTGTTTGTATATTTTGTTTGTGATACAGGATGTCAATAATTTGTAGAGTGTTGGAAGACATGTAATTGGTCTGTATTTTGTGGGGTCTGTGGTGTTGTTGTTTTTAGGTTTCATGTAGGTGATGCCCTGAGTGAGAAATTTTGACATGTCTTGTGGATTGATGATGATGTGTGTTAAATGTTTAGGTAATTCTTGGTGCAGTGATGTAAACTTTTTGTACCAGAAACTGTGAATGTTGTCTACACCAGGTGTCTTCCAGTTGTGTGTTCTGTTAACAGCGTAGCGGATGTCGTGTACGTTTATTTCAGCACAGGGCATAGTTGGTATTTATTATTATTATTATTATTATAAAACATTAAGTGAAAACTACTTACTGAGTCTTCTTATCTAATTTTATTTTACGTATTTTCTCTGCAATGTAACTTTTCTTTTTAATAATCTTCTCTTTCTTTTTTGGCACGATGCTACTGGTCAAATCAAATATTTTCTCTTTGACACCATCGAGTTTCGAATGCGGTGCCCTGTTTTTCAGGAATGCACTGACATATGCATTAGAAACTTCCTGTAAATACAATTATTTTTATACATAAAGTTTATACATTTCAAATAAACAATGCCACAAATTGTTGTGGCTAAAACATGCTCTCTCTTAATCTGGTGAACTAGAAACCTTAATGGATTCTTCATTAAGATAAAATAAGCATAGTCATTGGAAATGTTTATCTAAAATTTTATTGTGTTCTGGACTTGACTTTGATTCAAGTTGGGGTGGGACAGGTTTCGACAAATCCCATGTGAAAATTTTCGCGAGTGATTTGATGGAATATGCACCTTTACCCTTTCCATTGTGGGCCTGACCAAACATAAGATAGATATTAAAAAAAGGCTCCCTCAGCGCCCACACAATGGAGAGAGTTTAATGTGAGGTACCAGAAGTTTTCATAAGTTACAGGCCACATTTACAAATGGGACTGACACCCAATGAGTTTTGCCAATAAGTCAAGAAATGAAAAATGATGTCCTTAATATAAATTTTGAAGTCTGGATGAATTTGAACCTAGCTCTGCAATTAAGCAACTAAATGGTTAAAAATTAGAAAGCTTTTAACATGCAACAAGATTTCCAGAAAGGTTAGAAAATCATATACGGGTGCCTATAATTAAAACTCATCTATTCTGAGCAGACTACAGCAAGTACTACTCATGAAGTTGCTCATTGTCAAAATTTTTGGTACATGTTAATAAGGCCACGGAAAGAAAAGTATGGGTAAAAAAAATCAGTACCAAATGTCACAAATAGGGGTGTTTTCCCATGACAGATGTGCTAATCTTCATTACCACATCATCTGTATGCTTGCGCACCATTACGGGGTATTTAAACATCTTCTGCAAAACCATTTCCATTGCCACTTTACTGCAATTAAAAATGACAAGCAGGGCTGAGGAGAGGGAGGATGATGGGGCCTGAAATTCACAAGGGCCCACACATCATCCTACAATTTGTTTTTTCATGCTCTAATTAACCACAGATAAATGGTAAAAAATTTTTACCTTTACTTTCCTTCTCATGGTCTTGTTAAGACTTACCGAAACTTTTGGTTTTCTTTCGATAAGTAGTTTTTGTTGCAGACTGTTCGGAATAGGCAAACTTTAATTATAGGTACCTTATATGTTACATAATATAATATTTGAATTTGGCCTCATCTGCAATGGGAATGAGAAACTGAGCCCAACATCTAGGATAGACTATCCTTGAAAATTTCCCAGGTTTATTGCAGGTGTCTCAGAGCAATAGGTTAATGCCTTAACCACCTCGGCCATTCATACATGGAGGTTAAACAGAAGCACATTCTTAAAATATATGCTATACATTGCTTGAAAATTAAATAATTACCTATTATTTTGTTTGGATAACCCATGGGTTATTTATGCTTGAACCACAATTTCACAGGGGATGCGGATTATATGCCAATTTTAAATTCCAGGACCAGCGAGTACAGGAATAAATTTTTGAAGATGCCTCATGTATGTATGATACTTAAATGCATATCAGCAAAGACAATACACAAGCGTACACTTTTGTGTGTATGCCACTGTACTAAGCCTTAGTACAGTGGCATACACACTACACTGTACTAAGCTTTAGTACAGTGGCATACACACTTTAAGCCACTGTTCCTACAGTTGTAGCTCGTAAATTCGAGAATTTACGAGCTAAAACTGTAGGAATCTGATGAAGAGCCCAGAAGGGGTTCGAAAACGTTTGTTTTTCGTTACTTTTTTGTCGTTTATCGTACCACACCGTAAATTGGTTCAGTGTATGTGATTATTATTGAGGTGTGGTGAGTAGTTTGTTTTTTTCTGTATTGGATTACTGAAAATAATTACATATTTTGCATTGTTTTGCTAGCAGTAGCTTACAATATTCCCTACTCCAACTGTTCGAACAGAACTGCTCACAGAAAACACACGAAATGTGTGTCATTGTGTAAAAATTGGATGGGGAGATTCACGTTGCGACATGCTACTGTGCAAGCAGACACGTAATGGGGATGGGTACCTTGACGGGAGGTGCGTCGGACTACCAAGCATGTCGGATTAAAAAACATCGGACTATCAAGGGAGAGCTGTATTATTAAATTTAATCCAAAAATTATTGTAATTATTAGTTAGTTAATGTTAGTAAGAGACAGCAGTCTAACCACTTAATATCAAATAAATTTTTCTAAAGGTAATTATTGATAGCCTAACTTTAGCTCGAATAATTGAGAAATTAATACGATTATTATATAATATTTGAGCTTGGGTGGCCACTGAACATAAGATGATTATCTTACTTTCAATAATCACCCAAAAGATGTGGGTACATTTATTACAAGCGTTTTATTATCATTCTTGAAATTTTCTACGGGGTATACACCATTGCATGTTGTCACCCCAAATTTACAGTATTTATCAGCTGGAAACAATTATAATAAAACCATGTGATAAAAGTCTGAAAATAGTATGGGTTGATGGTGATTCAAAATTCCCTTAAACAAAGAACTCACTTCATTCGTTACTCATTAAAGGCTAGTTTCTGCCTTATGTTGCAGAAAGAGAAACAGTTAAAACCGTTGCAAAAAATTCAATGATTTCCACTAAGATTTCACTTCCGTTACTTTTCCCCACAAGTTTTTAGTGCATCGCCACGACTGTTGAAAATGAATTCCAACATTCTGAAAGCACTTGCTGTTAATTGGGTTATGTCAACAGGTACGTTAATTAATTAATATACAAAAATTATCAACCCGAAGCAATGTGACTAGACAAATTTTTATTCAGAGAAAGTTGAGATGAGATTGACTCGAAGTGGCAGTATTTCACCGTAAAACGACATCAACACAACTCTGTCATTGTCATCGATGTATTTTCTGCCATGATTCTGTGCTAGTGAAAACTGACCTTAAGTCATAAATTTAACCGAATGTATTTCTCACGCCTACTCCAATTGCGCATTAACATGTTTAATATTATGTAAGCACACGTATTGTGACTGTATTCCCTTTTATATTGATATCCCCGACTTGCCTCGCATGTTTTGATTTCTAAAAAGTACTTTAGCATTCTTGTTATGAAATTAATTTATGCATCTTTGTAATATAAAACTTAAATCTTACCTAAAACTTTTGTCTTATTTACATTAAAATTCTAAGTTCTCACCTTGACACCTAAACTTCTACCAACTTCTTTCCATTCTTTTGGAAATTCTGTGTACTGTTTATACATTGTTATCTGCAAAAAATAAAATGCACGTAATTATTAATTAATAGTAATTACAATTACACATTATATATAATATACAGATTACAAGATTCGAGTGTTATAGGATATTATATTTACACACGTATAGGCTGCATGAGTGTATAAGCTGCACCCCGTTTATGAAACGATATACAGTGGGTGATCAGTTAACGAACAAATCGGATAACGAACACTTTCACAAAAGATTTTTATGATCGGACAATGAACACTTGACTGAACAAACACAAGAAGGAGCGACGTAAAATAACGAAACCGACTGGTCTTCCTTCGTCTTCAGGCAACAATTTGAAACTTTTCGGAGCGCGGGAGACGTCGACATCAACATTCTACGCAGTATATACTGATAGGATAGTATTTCCCCGAACTTTGAAACACTCCCTTCTAATTCCAGCCTTTGTAGTATTTCTGACAGAAACGATTCTTTTACGTTTTCTTCTGAAAAGACAGATTTATGCCGATATCTGCTATTAAAAATCTCTTGAAGTGGGAGGATGTCAGAACAACGGTTTTAAAATGGCATCCAAACCAGGTTGAGGTTAATAGGCCTAGGGATCTCTACAATTACAATGCTATTAATTACTTCTGAAAAATCAAGAAGAAGACAGAAAAGCAATCAACATTGGACAGATTCTTTAACCCCAGAAACGGAAATAAACATGACTAATAAAAATGCAAAACCGTGTATATATGTATTTTTATTATTACATATGAATAAACGTAGTAAGAAAGTATATATTTTTTATTTTTGGGAGTCTCCAGAACGAATTAATCAAATTCCCACAGAAACCTATGGTAAATCGATAATCGGTTAACGAACAATTCGGATAGCGAACAAAATCTTGGAACAAATTATGTTCGTTAACCGATCATCCACTGTATTTGGAAAAAATAAAAATCTTAGAATTCTGCCGAAGGATGAGTAGAGACATGGGTATACAGAAGAATGTGCGGCGATGGATTCAAACAAATGACACTCTTGAGAAAACATCACAAAATCGGCAATTGTTTCGCGGAAAGGCAGCGAACCCGGAAGCAATCTGTTAAGATATATCCATTGAGAACATTAACAAATGAAGACACTGATTATAATTTTTATAGTCCTGAAGTGTTATTGCTTAATTGGGGCCTCAGACAGCTCCCTCCTTTTCTTCTTTTTACCTCTCACCCCAGGTAACCTAAAACATCCAAATAATCTCTCTACAAGTCCTAAGATATATAAAGACAATTAACGATAATAAATTGCTTTAAAATTATTCATTATCTCTAGTATAGACTGCACCCTAAAGTTGGACAAAAACTTTAGGGTAAAAAAGTGTGGCCTAAACGTGCATAAACATGATATGTCCAATCATGTGAATGAGATTCAGAGGAAATTTGCAATAAAAAAAGTATTACGACAATATTGTAGAATATGGAGTAGTGTCTCTGCTAAACCGGTGGACATTAATTGAAGAAATTTGCCAAAATGCAGAGACCCCGTATGTTAAAAGTGAAATTGGAACATCATTTACTTTGTTTCCGATCAGTTCAGTCATTTGCTACATCACTGTCTACTTACACAGTTATGTGCTTGTAGTAAGGACAAGTCAGTCTTGCTTACTTAACCATGGTTTCAGTTTTCGTAAAAAACTGAACCACGAACCAAAAACTTCAAATTTTTATTCTTTCTTTACAAACAATGCATTTCGGATTAAAATCTTTCTTAATCCCTCTTCAGGCTATAAATTCACAAAATTGCATTAACAAAGTTATTTGATATATTAGTTACAAAGTAATAAATTTAAATTAGTATTTAAGAAAAATGTAACTTAGTGTAGGGAACCCATTCTTAATCAGCGGATTCCGCCCTGTCAATTTGTCTCACCAATTAACCAGTCCAATATTTCCACAAAAAAAACTTTATTTCACTCTCAGGGACTACTACTTCACACTCCCTCTCACGTCCCTAATTCCTCTCTCAAAAATTCTTTCTTCCTGTGTTTATTCCCTGGTCTTAACGGCCCCTCATTAGCATGTGTCGATGGATGGATCGCATCTGCCCCGACGAAACCCCCCCAGAGAGGGAGGACAAGAAGGTCCGATATCACTACATGCTCCGACGAGACCGCTGGAGAGGGAGGGCAAGAGGGTCCGATATCATCACACCTAGTTTTGATTAAAGCAGATAAAGTGCATCAAATTGTTATAGTAGCGATTTGGATATAAAATTTGAATATTAATTAGAAAATGACAACACCATTAATTATTTAGATATTACAATGAAAAGATTTGATCATAATATTGGAATCACAGCATATGAAAAAGCCTGTAATACTAAAAAAAAAATAAATTATAAATCATACTGCCCATTGTATATCAATATATTGGCTGCAAAGCTAAAGAGAAAAGTGAATTATGATGTAAAGTTTGATGATCAAATTAAATCGCAAAATATAAATTTTTCAGGTGTCGTGTATAGGTTAAATTGTACTTGTAATAATAAAAAAATGTATTATATACGAGAAACAAAATGTATATTGGGAGCAAGACTGAAAGAGCATTAAGTGGCTGTTCGGTTAAAATACCATCGGCCCCCACGGGTCTCTCATTGTGAAGAGAATGATTGTAAAATTGATGTCGGTAATATTAAAATATTGGTTAAGTATACCTAGGTAACCCCTATCGCCTTGCTTCTGGTCGCCATCTTGTCTATTATAATGCAAATACATTATACATGTGACTAGCAAATGTTATCATTTTCAGTTTAATTAGAATGAAAACTTTAATTTAATATAATAAGTTAACACAAGAATAAATAATTACTCACAAATTATATGCTTCTAATCCTATTTCCATCGTTTTTTCTCACATACACTTGATGTGGTTACTGATTCACGTGAACACTTCCTTTTAGTTGATAATTTAACATTCTGTTTTTTCTTTGCTATCACTTTTTCCTTTTTTTTTTTGCCATCATTCTTATTTTTAAACGATTCTGAAGCAACAGGAAGAGTGTCCGGTTCAGTCCATTTAGGTATTTTGCAAGACCCAGGATATATCCAACTATTAATAATATGTTTTGTAAATATCTTAAAACGTTCTCCAGGTGTTTTCGAATACCATTTACAATACTTTTTGTACATAAACGAATGGAGATATGAGTCTGATAATTTGGCAGTATAATGGATTGGTAAAATTATTTCTGTTTTTTAATGTACCACATAATTGTTCTATCTTCTGTGTATTTTCGCCAGTTATTGGATTTACGAAGTTTTTGGAATGGTTGACAGTTTTATGTTCTATGTACATTCCTTCTAAATCGTCTATATTATTATAACCTTTCCACTCATCTGTTACAGCGATACTACCAGAATTAACAAATTTCGATATTAGCGAGGTTGAGGCCGAAGTTTTAAATGCAAAAACGTGTACGTTGGACGTTCAGCACCTCTTTCCTGTAAGCCTAGAAGTTTGACAATAGTGTTTGGATAGTCGGTGGAATCATGCTTGACATTCCAAACACCATTGTCAAACTTCTAGACTTACAGGAAAGTGGCGCTGAACGTCCAACGTCTGGTCTATAAATTAGTTTGCGGCATTTAGAACATTTATTACATACATCTCAACGTGTTGTAGACCTAACCAAACAGTAGACTTCACATTAGAGGGTATATTTTTATCCAAACCTAATTCTTCAAAATCATTTTCCATCAGGAAAAAAAAATTTCCTCGAATTACATTTTGTCCAAAAGACATCATTATTATATTCTTCTAAAGTCATTGTTTATAACTATTAATAAAATTACTGTTAATTAATGTAATAAATTAAATAAATTTAGCCAAAAAATACAAGTTATACCTTTATATAAAGAAATAATCCAAAAAAGATTTGAAATTAGTTGAAAAAACTAGTGCAAATTACAAAAACTCCACAAAATGAAATACCATCATTTGCATAAAACCACATTCGTAAAAATGATTACATGATTCAGTTGACCCGCCTATAACACTGTTGATAATTCCATTTTATATGAATTCCATGTTGTACGAGTCACTTAGATTTTACAAATACGTGTGCTGGGCTGTGAATGGCTCGCGTATTTGTAAAATCTAAGTGACTCGCACAACATAGAATTCATATAAAATGGAATTATCAACAGTGTTATAGGGGGGGTCAACTGGTACATTAATTTGCATAATAATTAAGCAAAGTTGATAAAGACGCCCTCTAGTTTTTTCCACAAAGCTCCTTTATCGAAATTACCAGAAGCAACGCGATAGGGGTTACCTAGGTATATTTTAACCAAATTATTATATAGAGTATGGTATGACGTAACACTCAACTATAAAAGAAATCGTAAAACTCAATGTGGAGGTAAAACAAATTGACTACTATGTCAAAAGGTTAGTGGTTTGTACGTTATATTATTTGTAACTAATATATTAAATAACTTTATTAATGCAATTTTGAGAGTTTATAGCCTGAAAAAGGATTTTTTAAAAATTTGAATTCGAAATGCATTGCTTATAAATAAAGAATAAAAATAGCTGTGTTCTAAAGTCTTGGTCTCTGATTTAATATGGATATTGGAAAAAAACGATGCAAGGTTATTCACTAGTCTTATGTTTTATAACTGAATTTTAACTTAGACTATATCTAGTCAAAACTCACTCCTATAACACATAATTCTTTAGAATTTTGGCTGACACAGGGTAATTCATGATGATGTACCACCAATTATGGAGCTTATTTTGAGCAGAAAATGTCCTATAAACTTCGATCCTTGTCTCAAAAATTACAGAGTAATTCACTGTGCATAACCTTAAGTAATTCTACAGTTAAATAGAAAATGCATTTTTCCTTAATAAATTGTCGTAAATAATGACATTAAAAATAGTTGTTACGGATTCATTTTGCATCAAAGATTGCAGAGCAGTGTGTGCAGTTCACACTCGTAAATGTGCAGCCAAGTATATTGAAACGAACAGACATTTCTAGAAATCTCTCATAAACTCTAAGTTTGACAAATAGTTACTCAAAATGTAATTATTGAGAAGAAGACATTACTCAAAATTTGCTCCATAAGTCACAGTACATATACTTGAATAACCTTGTATGAAAATAATCTACAATCCCAGCAGGGAACTAACAATGTCAGGCAAGATTAAATTGTTCCCCCAGAAAGTTTTGAGAAGCCTTCACAAAATGTGGTTTTCCAAAGGGTAAGACACGAACTCCAAATGAGGGATTTGCCCACCCCGTACAAGCAAACAAGGCGGCGAAATCACTCCTGTACACGTGACCTTCTCTGAGAAATTTGCTCCAAAGATCGGCCTTAATTGCAAACCAGTATACTATCTATTCTCCACACTCCGTGTCGGTCGAGGTAAGCGATAGTCTGCCTCGACCGACTCGGAATGTGGAGAAGCACTCTGCATGTAATCACTTGTACAGAGAGTGCGCCACACACCCTAAAAGTATATAACATCAAGTACTTCACTCAATGCCGGCACAGCAACCTCAGCCGAGGAGACTATGCTGGCTTTGAATGACGGTTAAATGCGAGTCGTGGCGGAGAGTGCGGCATCGCATCCGATTGCGCTCAGAAATAGGCCAATTTCGCGGTGACTATCTCACGTACAGGTGTGGTTCCATTGACTTTTTTGCTCCAATGAGCATGCTCTACAGCTCTGTGAAGGTCCCAATAGTGTCATTCACATCTGCAATCTTACCCGGCTCAGTCTTATGATCATTCATGTTTATGTTCACTGTAAGCATAAAAAATACATTAAATATGTAAAATAAAACGCAGAAATGTTGAACTGAACTGTTTTAAAGGTCCACGTTACCAAAATATCAAGAAATTAGTCTAATTTCTTCAATTCTTACTCACCTAATCACATCAAACTCATACAAGAGTTTATGCTTCTAAAACGCTAATAAAATGAAATAAAACAGTAAAAATTAATGAAATTTATAAAAAATATAATCTTAAACAAGTAAATAAAGGTTATTAACGTTAAAATCGACTGACTTTCACGCTCTACGACTAAAACATCGTCTGTCTAAAAACGAAACAGTGTTGCCAGACCAAATTGAATAATAATTTACTCGACAACATTAATTTCGTATTTGAAAAAGAAAATAAATAAATAAATTCCAATCTCCTTTCGAAGTTCTGGAAACTAAAAATATATAAAACTGAGTTAATAATTGGAAATAAAAGATTATACATTCAGTTTATTTAGTTTTTTCTTCTTTTTTAATAGACATTTATTTTTTTGACATTTCGTTTTAAGTGCTTGATTATGTGTTAAAGTCGATTTTGAAATATTTGAAATAAACAGTTTTGATAATTAACGATTATTTTTTAATTAACGAAACGAATGCGCGTAATCAAAGTATAAAAAATTCCGAAACGTCACGTAGACGCGATACATTAGAACTTAATTTGTAAATCAAACGTCATTCTAAAAAATTAATTTTAAGTAAAATTATTGCTAAATCATTAATCTTTGTAAAATAATGATTTTACTAATCAATTTTTAAAATCATTCCCGCTTTTGAAGTTACTTTTTTTAAACTCTTTCCACCCTATGGGCACTAAGAGGAGAGCCTTTATAGTAAGCCCATTATGGATTCGCCCAGGCCTACAACGAGGTGAGGGACGTGGCCCGATATAACCGGGCAGATTTATGACCCGTCTGGACTCGAACCCGGGTCCCCCAGAGCGATAGGCTGTCATTCTAACTGTTTGGCCATCCGATTTTTTCGATTAAAATACTGATTAATTTTTAAAATTAATCTCGAATTATTATTATTATTTATTTATTAATTAATACTTAAAAAATTATTTTAAAAAAATACTAATTTAACATTATAATCTCGTCCCTTTAAAAATTAATATTTTATACCGCATACTCTCGTAACGACTTGTATAAGTTTACGTCAGCGCCATCTTATACATGTGCCAACGTCATATGTATACATGAGGCGATAAGGCGACGTTTTACGTGGACGAAACATGGAAGTTTTATATCGTTTACCATTTAATGTGCTTCAAATACCAAATTTGAAGCTTAAGAAGCCATCGTGGTTTCATAAACCATCGGCGATGGTTATGTTTTCCTTAGTTTTGGCTTCGTACTTTTTAGTTTGCGGCGGTAAGTCACTGAAATCCCGCGAAAAAATGGTGTCTTTTCCTAAAAAACCCTAAATTCGTGCTGTAAACGGCTTTATACTTAATATAGACGCTGTCAAGCCGCTAATTTTTCAATTTTCCCTTTATTTACTTGTAAAATTTTGCTAATTCATACTAGAAGATATATTGTCTTGTGTATATATATTTACATAAACTCACTTGAAGGATGCCAAATGCATATATCGAAGCACGTTTAAGGCGGATCTTTCTGTTAAACTTAATGTTCAATTCATAAATTTGATACTTTTAAAACATATTTAGATTACGTTGATGGAAAATTTCAAGAAATATTACACAAAAACCTGATTTTAAGATATAAATGTGGCCAAAAAGTCGCTTGCCAAATGGGGAAAGAGGACATAATGCAAATTACAGATGAAAGACACTATAAATTATATCTGTGTGACAGTCAGGTCGAGAGTACTGTGAGTATGGGGTGATGTACACTGCAACCGATCAATGCTCGCGTATAAAGTGTTGTACATGATGCAGGACTTCACTTAACTGTTGCAATAGTTGCGAATGTTGTGAAGAATGTCATAGTTGTTCAGGGAGGTGGGCAGTGTCTGGAAGGCACGTTTCATGTAGCACTACGTGAAGGAAACCATATGCGTTAGGTCAGATGATTGTTGTGACAAAAATGCCACTGTAACTAATCCAACATCCTGTAAATGTTGCATTGTCTCTCTCAAACATATAAGACAGTGCGTGCTGTCATACCATCCAGCTGGAACCAAAGTTCCTGTTGTTAAGTTAGAGGAAGATCATCCAGGACACTGAATGTTTTCTTAAATTTTTCTATGATATTGCCACGATGTGAAGGCTCCAGAAGGATGGTGGCAATGATGGAATTCCTGTGCAGCTTCTCGTGTTATTCTGTTATTGTCTCTACACAATGGGCCAGTATGATTTCTTTCAGTTGTTATTGCCCCCATTTAGGCAAGCAACTTTCTGGTCACACTGTACAAACAGATACTGACTTCCATAAAGCTAAAGTGGTAAGTGTCAGCGTAATGACTTGAATAGACTTGTTTGAGTCCAGATTGAATCCTCAAGTTTTCATAGGACTTAGATACATTGAGGCAACCTCTCTTGCCACTTAGCCATTTTCATTATAAGTTTGGCTGAATCTGTGATGAACCTGAAAAGAGATCCTCTTAGCGTTAGCAATGGAGAAAGAAAAGTAAGAATGAATGAATGTTGAAATTGTTCATTTGTGCTTGAGACTCGTGTCTGCATGGACATAGCCAAAAAAAATCTTTCATATATACAAAAATTAACTAGAAAAATCTTGATAGAGTACACCAATGATACATAATAAAGGCTTTGTTGTTATAGACTACTTAATCTTAAGACCCTACAGATGTGAATAAAAGCATGAGCATTTATCTAACTCTGTTCTTGAGATTGTCATCTGTCTATCGCCCTTTGTTAGTGGGAATGTATAGGCCTGCAATTTGAAAATTGAACCCAATGAAGATAAATTATATATAAATGTGTAGGTTTATATAGCATCTACCTTGAGAAATTATTATAAGGCTCAATGATTTTAATGCAAAATTAGATAATTTGTATTATAATCGTCAAGCATACTCCAAGTTTTTAAAACATACATTTTCAGGTATCATATACGATGTAATCGTCGAACCGCCAAGTCTCGGATCGACAGTTGACGAGCATGGTCACTCTAAACCGGTGAGTAGTAATTACATTAATAAACTATTTATTTTTAAGGAAGGACTTAACGAAGTATCTGACTCTACCTCAGGTTGCTTTCATGCCGTACAGAGTTAACGGCCAGTATATAATGGAAGGCTTGGCCTCGAGTTTCCTTTTTACATTGGGAGGATTAGGTTTTGTCGTTCTAGACCAGACTCACAATCCCAACACGCCACGCCTTAACAGGATCCTGTTGATATGCGTGGGGTTTGTTTGCATCCTCATTTCGTTCTTCACATGTTGGATTTTCATGAGAATGAAATTACCGTAAGTACAAGTAAAATGTAAGAATTGATTTTTAGCATTTGTATGCTTGTAATTTTGTATCTGTTTCCATTTCAGTGGTTATCTTCAGTAAGAAGAAATGAAATTTTCGTAAAGTGTCTGAATGTATTCGGCTCAAATTTACAATTTTTAACTTAAAAAGAATAAATTCTTTTTTTTAAGAATGAACACATCGGTTAAATGTTTTCTTCTTGTTATGTTTACATTAGAATCTAGCTGAGAATTAAACAAATTTTTTTCAGAAACTCTTAAAATTTAAACAAAACAATAATTTGGATGCTTACTACATTGCCAAACGATCGCCTAAATATCGGGCTAATATATGGCTACTTAAATGATTAGAACTAAAGCAAGTTTGCTTGCTTTAGTTCTTGCTTGCTTGCTTTAGTTCTAATCATTTAAGTAGCCATATATTAGCCCAGTATTTAGGCGATCATTTGGCAATGTAGTATGTATACTATTCGGGCTTTGTGTTGTTGTTATTTATAATTTGGATGCTTGCTACTCTGCAAGGGAAACCTTCCAAACCCAAACACAAAGTAAATGATTTGAGAACTGTGGATGTGTATTTGCTTGCAAGAAAAATGACTCTTTTTTGTGTCTGCCATCTCCAAGCACCAAAAGAAAATGGTTCAAAATTTGTGCACATGCATAAACCAAGCATAAGCAAAGTGGTATTAAGAGGATGCATTTCTCTCTACCCCTGGTAATTGTGTTCTGAACCATGAATGCTACAGATAAAAAGAAATCATGAGCATTACCACTTCACCACACTGGCAGCTGGGAATATGGTGTGAGCTACTTGTGTATGAGTGAATGCATTATTTTTGAGTTTTTTTTTTTTTACAATCCTAAGGGACCAGACACAAAAGTGAATTCCATTTTCATTTTTCTCAGAAGCAAATACATCCAATAGCTCTTGAAATATTATTTTTTGAGTCTTGATTCACTATTGAGGAAGCTTTCATGGGTGATAAATATATTGGTCTCATTCCCTTTTAGGTAACTGACCCTGTTGCGGATTGGACCCACCCAATAATGGGCAAGTACGAGATCGGATGTGGTCTATAACAGTGGTCCCCAACCCCCGGGCCATCCAAGCAACATTAAATTATTTCCATTTTATTTACTGTGGTGTATTTCTCTCGTGTTTGTGTGACTTTTAATGGATGTATGGTTAACCTGGAACTGAGAGTCATCACCTAAAACTGCACCAATACCATGCATGCGCAAAATATCGTTATATTGAGGTGGTTTTAGGTGACGTCTGGAGCTGAGTGGCAGTGGCATTGTAGCTTTGGTGGAGAGTGTCTGGACGTACGTTTCCCACCCTTTTTCTTTTCAAATGAGCAACGGTTGATGCCGTAGAAGCTTTGATCAAGAAACGACCATTAGTTTCGAAAACAGGAGCGCTGATTGGCCAGCACACATTGTACGATCGGCAGATGTCCGATGGCACTACAAAACGCTGATTGGTCGATTAGCATTTTCTTCAATCCGTATAAAAAGATTGGGTTTAGGCGGGAAAGTTGAGTTCGCATAAGATCTGTTAGGTTGGTCTGACTTCACCGACATACATGTATATTATGTTTGCTCAAATTTAACCCACAAATTAGCAAACATGGGTAAGAAACAGACGTCGTTAAAAAGTTTCCTTGGGAAAAAGAAATGGCCCAGTGAAGAGACAGAAGAAGAGCCTCCAACATCAAAGAAACATAAAACTTTTAACAGAAAATATTCATGAGTCCTACTTGAAATATGGATTTATCAGAACAGGTGATTCCCACAAATCAATCCTGCTCTGCATAGTTTGCGGCGACCAGCTCTCTAATGAGCCAATGAAACCTTCAAAATCGCTTTGCCACTTGAACGCCATGCACCCTGGATTAAAAGACAAGCCCCTGAAGTATTTTGAAAGAAAAAAATGGGAACACGAAGGACAGAAGAAATTTCTGAGGGCCACCACATCAATAAAGGAGAATGCACTGAGAGCATCATATTTGGTGGCTAACCGTATTGCTAAGGCTAAAAAGCCATACATTATCAGTGAAGAATTGATATTGCCCTCCACTAAAGACATTTGCTGTGAACTTCTAGGAGAGACTATTGTTGAAAGATAGCACATGTGCCTTTGTCGGCTAGCACTGTGACTAGGTGCATTGAGGAAATAGTCGAAGACATCGAGACACAATTGTTGGAGAGGATTAATACATCACCGTGGTACGCACTCCAGGTTGATGAATCTACAGAAATCGACAACAGGGCAATACTACTAGTTTGTGTGCGATATCTATATCAGGAGGATGTGCATGAGGATTTGTTATGTGCATTATCTTTGCCAGCTGACACCACAGGAGCAGAACTGTTCAAGTCACTGGATGGTTATATATCTGGACAACTAAAATGGTCCTTTTGTGTCGGCATATGTACAGACAGAGCTGCTGCCATGACCATTTGACTGTCTGGTTTAACTGCTCAGATTAAGGAGGTTGCACCTGAGAGTGAATCTACACATTGTATCATTCACATGGAAATGCTGGCAAGCTGAATAATGTCACCGGAATTTAACAGCATACTGATTGATGTCGTTAAAGTTATTAACCACATCAAAGCACATGCCCTTAACTCACGCCTGTTTGAGTAGCTTTATGAGGAGATGGACGCAGAGCATAGATGCCTTCTCTTATACACAGAAATAAGATGATTATTTAGAGGAAAATCGCTAACCAGAGCATTTGAATTATGAGAGCTATTGCAAAGATTTCTCTCAGAAAAGAAGTCACCACTGGCAGCACATTTTAGTGACAAGGTATGGGTTGCAAAACTGGCTTACCTGTGTGACATATTCGGCCTGCTCAATGAACTCAATCTATCCCTTCAGGGGAAAATGACAACTGTTTTCAAGTTGGCAGACAAAGTAGCTGCATTAAAAGCCAAACTGGAGTTCTGGGGACGACGCATAAACAGAGGCATTTTAGACATGTTTCAGACATTAATGGGGATTTTAGGCGAGACTGAGCCTGAGCATTCATTCTCCCAGTTGGTGCACAATCACCTGTCTTTGCTTTTAAAGGAGTTCGAGTGCTACTTCCCAACCACAAAAGACCCACGAATTGGAAAGTAATGGATCTATGACCCATTTGTCAACAAACCAGGTGAATCTAGCATGTCTATGCAAGATCAACTGCTGGAGATTGCAAATGACGGCGGTCTTAAAACTACTTTCGAGACAACTCTGCCGGTGTTCTGGATTAAAGTCATGGCGGAATACCCCGAGATTGCCACCACAGCACTTAAATCCCTATTGCCATTTCCGACATCCTATCTGTGTGAAGTGGGGTTTTCTGCAGTGACAGCAACCAAAACAACACACTTCGGGTGTCATTGTCTCCTATTACCCCTAGATGGAACAGTCTCGTTGCAAAGAAACAAGCTATGGGTTCTCATTGATTTGTTCTAGTGAGTTAAAATGTTAAGTCACTTTATATTCATTTTTTGGTGTAACTGTATTTTATTTTGAAGGCATGTTTAAATACAATTAAATTAAAATTATTAAATCAAAACAATCTAAGATATAAACAATCAACATCCCCTCAGCGGGCTGCGGTAAAATTACCAAACATTGACCGGTCCGCGGCGATAAAAACGTTGGGGAAATGTATATGATCTATGTCTATAATGTCCTATACAATTTTGTGCAAGTCATAGTTCTAGAATACTGTAATTGTAATGTATAAAATTATTAGTATGCTGTCTCATGGATAATGCAGACTTATGTACAAATGCCGAATTTATGAATGGGTACATTCCAGTATGCATTTGGTCTCAGCAACAACCAATGCACTGGTGAACAGTTTAATATCTGGAAAGTCTGGCAGCTGAACAGGATGCAGAAGCAAATGGTGCTAAATTGGCATTTATAGTCTTATTTTGTTAATACAGACAGGTAGTAAAGATAGTGTTAATAATATAACCATGGAGCCCACCATATTCACAACCCAATGAGAGCAATGAGTCACTGCACCAATGAATATATTGGTGAATGTCAGAACACATCTTAGTACATTACAATTCACTGCCATGCTATTTAATGCATAGTAGAATGTATCCATTATATCATGTTTTTCCAGCATGGGAGACCATTTGGTTTTCTTTCAGATGAGACAAGAAAGTTGAGGCAGTATGGCAATATTAGACAATGCTGTTGTTGTACACTTGATAACGAATCAGATGTGCCTATTCTTTGCTTTCTAAATGCCAAGACTGAAGATTCTCCATGCAAAACTATACTTATTCTGGCAACTTCTCAAACCTCTCTTCCTCGATTTTTCTTATCTTTTATCTCTTTCCCATCATCTTAGAACACACTAAAACTGATTTCTCAGGAAGTGAATATTCCATTAAAAAATTATATTATTGCTAATAATGAACATTTTTATTATAAAAACGTCTATTATACAAAAATATAGTGCTTGTATAGACAAAATTTAGTATTTTCTTCAGTAAGAAAGTTACAATTAAATTATCTACCAGCAATGAATTACACAGAAGTATATAGAGTGCTTAATATAGCAAATACAAATGATTAAATAATAAATTTTCATGCTATTTTCTCATAAATTGTGTTACAATTTTGGATTTTCAGCTGAAGATCTAAAATATGTTACGTACAGGATGACACAGTTAAAACAAATCTAATAGCTTAACGTTAAGTTGATATATCAGAAATTACATAGCTAAATACAGTTTATAAAACATTATTTTCTTCTACAATTGGAATATTATAAGAAGACAGAAATAATATTCTGATTATTAGTGCAAGGTTACTACTTGTAATGCATTATCTCAGGTAAGACTAGAGAAAGATCCAACATCACTGCTCTTACAGTCCGAAATACTTTCAATTGCTCTTCTGATTACAATTGTGAAAATGTCATCATTAGTGTCAAGCAGTTTCTGCCTGTTTTATTTCAACTAAAGTCAATCCTTGAGTTACAAAGATCAAACTTATTGACAACTCATACTTATGAGCAGCTATAACGTCTATAATTTAAAATGTTTGAATTAAATATAAAATACAACAGTTTGTAATAACAAACATGTGCTAACACGCAAACATTCCATGATTACAATTTAGTGACAAGTTTGTTTTGTCTTGCCATTAATGGTATAAATGCAACTCTGAAGAATGCAGTTGGGACCTTATCAGAACTGTAGACCGTGCCCGTCCGAGTAAAAACGTCAAAGGAATCGATCATCTACACGACCCTTCACAAGACAGCTCCCATGAAATTATATAAACATTCAATAGGATCAATGTAATAGTTGGCACAATAGCATGTCACGTGTTTTACAAGGTTTTTGCTGTCTCGGTGTCAAGTTGGCAGTTAATTGAAAGCTTTTTCCTACTCAACAAGCACTGAGAGAGGTAATAAGTTTGAGTCCCAGAGAGGGTTCATATAGTTAATCTATACCATTAGGCTTATATGATTTATAATTTTAGTGGTCTTATATAAATTTATCAATGCAATTAAAAGGTTTTTATAGTTACCAGTGGTTTTTTTTTCCCCTTTGCTTCTTTGGATGGTTTTAAAGGAACAGCTAGTGTATTCCTTGATTATTAGATTAAGTATAAGGAACGATAGAAAAGTTAGGTCAAGTTAACTACAAACTTTACTTATTTAGGCTACTCTTCAACAGTGGATGGAAGAAAGATACCACTGAAGACACCTTCGATATATTTTCAGTTGTAATTTACAATGCCAAATATGATGTTATCAGAAAGTCTTGTGGAGCTACCCATTCGGTAATCTCTGGGGCAATAGCTTTATACATACTGATTAGAGATAGTGAAGTAGAAGAAATTGAGGAGTTTTATAGTTAGATTGAAATGAAAATTTTGAATACAGTACTTATGGAAGCTGAGCATTTATTTGGTGGTTTCAATGGTTTTATCTTTGGTTGGAACAAGCACAAGTATATTATTATTACTCTTAAGTAAGTTGTATCAAAAGGATTGATCTTATGGAGAATTTTAAAGTCCTTGCTTCTAAATTTGGTTAGTGCCACAGGCTAGGTAATTGTTATGAAGTGTGTAATTAGTCTTTTTCACATCAAAGAGTACAAAATGTGTTCAACACTATCAGGTACCTTTCTACCGTAATTACAATATTGATTGATAGTAATTAAACTTACCATGTTCTGTAAATATTATGAGTTAATCTAGTCATGTGTACCAAGTTTACAATTTTTTGTCCTTTAGAAGTGGAAAGAATTTATATTTAATCTCGTCTTTCTCATCATTTTGCCAATGGTTTTCCCATTGATTAGTATTGAAGATGCATGCAAATGAACAACACTAGAGCATCCTGATATTTAGTAGTTTTGTTTAAGTATGCCATTGTGGCGAGCAAGTCAGCAATCTCATTGCCTCCACAGCCTGAATACCCCTTTATCCATGTGATTATAGTGTTGTATTTGGCATAGCATGTATGTGTTATAATTTGCTGGTTATTTTTGGTGTGCTTAATATTTTAATTGCAGTGCTTGAATCTGTACATATGGTTATATCTTTGTATGTTCTTTAGATATATTTAAATGCATGGCTAATGGTTTTCGAGTTGTCCCAGCCCAGAGAGATAAGTTTGCCATTTTCTTTTATTTTCTGACGACAGTTCGACAAGACTGCTTTTAATCTGCCTTTTATTTTTCACTCCAACCTTTAATTTCCACCATGAAATCTGTTCTCACTGTCTTATATATTGGCATTTTTAAAGCATCTGTGAAACATGTTTTAGTGTATTGACTAAGACAGGAAAGTAACTCAGACTTCCTGTACTTGCCATTATGCACACAAGTACAAAAAGCAGAAACATTAACTAAATTAGAATTTAAAATACAGTGGTACCTCAGGTTACGAATGCCCCAGCATACGAAATTTTCAGGATACGACATGAAATTCGAGCATATTTTTGCTCCACGATACGAACAAAAACTCACCATACGACGTTACATTAGTTCGCATTTTTCATTTGTTTTTCTTACTACAGTTNAAGTAAGTTATTTTTTTTTAATAATAATAATTAGTTATTTTTGCATTACATTTCTATAACAAACTTGTGAAGATTAACACTAAACGTAAGTCAAAATCAGATTAAAATCCCGATAATCGACGTATAACGAAAGTTTGTCTCAAAATTGTCGGGATTTTAACTCGGTTTGAAGTATTTCATAATAAAATTTTTAAAAACGGAACATCTTTTATATCATAAAACGTGGGTAGAGCTGGAAATGAACAACTCCACCTCTGTAATTTACATTACCATTCTTTGTGATGTATTGAAGGCGTCTAATCACGCTACTACTTCGCATAAACAGGGATGCCAACCTACTTTACATAGGACTCCTTGTAGATTTAGAGCCTGTACACACTAGGCGTTTTTAAATGCGCGTTTTAAAGAACCAAGAGTTCTATGTAGGCGTACACACTCAAACGTGTGCTTTTGGCCAAGCGTGCGTTAAGCGCGCGTTTATAGATTTTTGTTAAAACGCGCGCTTTATGGGCGCTTTGAAATATATGTGCTGCCTTATAGCGACAATGGAGAAGCACACACAATCAATTACTTTCACGTCCATTTCCAAACTGAGCCAGTGCTAACGCCAAACTAACGCTCGTCAAACGCCGAGCTAACGCGCGTTTAAAAACGCCTAGTGTGTACAGGCTCTTACTATGAAAACAAGCTAGTCAACGCTATAGAAAATGATAAACTGAAGATGTAAATTACATTTAAGCACTAGTAAATTGGGGAAGTTTTGAAGTCGAGTGTTTAGATGATGCTTTAGAATCATCTAAACACTCGACTTCAAAAGTTCCCAAAAACATTAGAAATTACACCATTAGCTAGAGCCGAAAAGAAGCGGTTTGCTTTATTAATTGGTACACAAAGCACAATCTGAAAATTACCCATTTAAAATTCAAATTTGATTAAATTGTCATACATCTTATTAAACTAGCTTTACCACATTCATGTAGAAACTTCTTACTGTGTCTTTTTTTTTTTTTTTTCTATTTGTTGAATAGATAACAAGGTTGTATCACCTTGTTGAAGTGGACTTTCCTCACCCCACCATTAAAAATTATCATATCAAATGAAAACTAATCGTTCTTGTTTTAATTTTAATTAAGATGTCCCACTTGAATTGCCACATTCTGTATTGTGCAAGTAATAAATTATCGAAAACAATTAATGTCGAAGAAACCGGATTGTTACCACAGCGTACCGGTAGCTGCTACTGTACCACTTTCCTTTTTTCCTCTTGTGTGCAGAATAGATAATTGCTTGTTCTTCAATGTAATAACTATGTTGAAAATTAAGTGGGTGTTTCCAATATTTAATTTACTTTCTTTTCTTTGTACACTTTTTCAATTATTCCTGTTTAGTTTGTGAATTAAGATTATATCTATTGCCTCCTGATACACTGTGACATATCTATAAAAAAGTGCTCCTTGTTCCCAAAATTGTGTGTGTATTTTGGTATGAAATATGCTGCTAAATTGAGAGTATTTGATAGTGTACATGAGGTGTATCTCATTACAAATGGTTTATGATCAATATAAAACTTTACAAATGCTCCGTGATCAATTTGTTGCCAACGAGGTACACTGCCAAATACTCTCAAGGTGTCAAATCATATCAAACTGCACATAAAAAATGCTCCTTGTTCCCAAAATGTTATCTGTATTTTGAATTGATACGATAAGGTAACAAATATGCCTCAAAACTGAGAGTATTTGTAGTGTGTATAAGTAGAAATGCTCCTCGTTTACACCAGTACACTGTGTATGAACATATTAAGAGAAAGCATCAGACACCAGGTACACATCTTGAGCTCGAAATTTCAGGCGTGTGTTACTACTGCCCTGTATTATGTTACGTACACATTAAGAGATACTATGCACCACACCGCCCCTCACGTGTTACGCGCTTATTAAGAAAAAGTATCAGACATCAGGTGCACCTCTCGAGCTCGAAACTTGGCACACGTTGTGTTTCAGTAGACTGGATCATTGGTAGTAGTGTTTCGAAATCAATACACCTGGACGCGACAATAGACGACAATTGTGTATGGAAAAATACCTCTCACCCCCTTTCTGTCCTCTCCTTGAAAGGTTACATTAAATATTGATACTTATTATGTAAGTTGGCTGTCTACAAACTCGCTCGTCGCTCGAGGACACCACCACTTGTTGCGAAATGTGGCAACTATAAAAATTTTCAAATCCCAGCTTGGTAAGGTGGTAGTCCTTCAAATTATTGTCCTTGTGCTGATTAAATTTCGGGTTAAAACGCTCCAAACACATGACGAAAGACTGGTAACAGATCAAGAGCCTATTACAGAATCCGGGCTGCAAGTGGCACCTCTTTCACGTGAAGACAACATCTCCCACCTTGCAGAAGAGGGACAGTAACGTCACACTAACGGCGTGACGTAACATGTACGAAGAGAATTATAAAAATCCTTGATCTTCCGCCGTAACAAGCGGAACCTTTTCGTGTGGTGGGTTAGTAATTTTTCACCTCTACTTTCAGGGTCATTCGCAAGGACCTCATAACTAAAGCCTTGGTTAAGTGAAGCTGCCAATGAACTCGCGTCGAGTTTGTCAACATCGTAACTGGGTCATATACACAACGATCGACGAAATTTCCGTAATTTTCAGCTGGTGACGATGGATTTCTGTTGTTGATAATCGACCAACCATGCGTACTCGACATTCGTGGAACGTCCGGGTTTCCCGGTTTGCTGACAACTCTGTTAACCCCATTAGGACTATTGTAGAGAACATGAGGTTGAGACCAAATCCGGACAAACCCCTCTTGGCACTTTCTATAGGTAAGTGGCGTAACTCTTCTCGTAGATCTACATTCTTACTATAGTAACACACCATAATTTACCATGAAAAGATGATAAATCGTACCAAGAAATGCTGTTCACTCAATTACAATAGTAAGACTNAATCGTACCCATAATCCATAGCGCACGTTTTCCTTGTCGTCTGTTTTTAAAATTCCGATCGCATTTCATTCTAGTCTTAACTTTATGGCGGTAATTTTCGTGGAAATTTGATGTTTTAGCTTATGTAAGCGCCACAAAACGCCAAAAAATGTGAATTATATTAAAATATAACGTTCTTTTTATATGTAAGTTGAGTTTTAATGTTAATTCTTTTTATCAAATGAACTTTTTCGTATGGAATGACGTAGGCGGTAAGTCACGTGGTAGATCGTCCATGAATGTTTATTTAAAAAATAATTATTTAATTACAAATTTACCGTAAAATAAACACGTAATAACATTTTATACTCGTTAACATGTAAATAATAAATTAACAATAACCTGAAAATTCATTTTTTTAATATTTTTTTTTAACCAGAGATGGCGCCATATACTGTATGCTTACTCTACCATGTTTGTTGGTAAGCTCAAAGCTGATCCTAGTAATATTACTTTGATCATTTGAACTTGCTAACAAATACGGCGTCACGGCTTATACATTACATGTCGCACGCTTTGAGCGACATTCTGCGTGTAGTCGCGTGCTTTGATGCTTGCTATCACTTGCACCTTGGCATTCGCATGGGCATGATCCCCACGCACCCCTAAAACTATATAGTGTCGAGTATTCCGCAAACAGTCGGGCGGACTACTCAAAGGTGGCGTAGTTATGTGGGCGAAATATTAAATGCAAGTCTTCTTGGCACGATGCGACTCCACGAAGGGTCATATATAGAGGTGTGGTAGGCTTGACAAAGAGGTCGCATCGAACCCCTACTATCGGGCCTGTGGGAGGCATTACCCTTGCTGTATGTTCTCTTTACTATATGTATTTTATTAGCATCAGGTTGGTGTTGAGAACAAATCACACAGGAACACTTTCAGTGGTAAAAGGTTGCCAATAAGTCTGTTATAATAGGACTGAAGAGGGGCATTAAGCCCGAAATGCATATCATTTCCTATCAATAAACCGACCTTTTTCCACTAAAAGTGTTCCCGTGTGACTTGTTCTCAATTGCAACCTTATGCTAAGAAAATACATATGAGTAAAATACTTAATTTACTGACTTAAACTTTGTTCTTTAATAATTTACTGTACTTTGATTGGCGAAACTGTATATGCTTTCCTCAAGACTTCTCGAATTTCACATAACAAAAGATTAAGTCAATAACTGAATGTATTAAACTCAGAACAATAGATTTAAATTACTTCTAGAAAGAGTTTTGTTTATATTTGACATAATTTTAAGTATAGTTTGTAGTTTAAATATCGAATTTTGAATATGCATGTACAGGGTTTCCAAAATGAATGCCATTATTTTATATTACTATAATTATATTGTTGTCCGAGAAGTGTGATGTACACCAGTCCTTAGTGCAATTGTCCGAGCTTCGTCTTTCATTTGCATCCGAGGGTCTTCTTGTGTACTACCTCTAGGAAGTACGAGCAAAAACGGCGAATCTGTCTTGCACTTTAGTGCCTTGCAGTTCACAAAGTCAGAATCGTGCATCATTGTGCAACAGGAGTAATCTGCAGAATACAGCCATGGAGCTGTGGCAGCCGTGGGAGAAGTGACAACAGATCTACTATAGCAAGCATAAAACAATTTGAGTATTGCTCGGATGTGTGCAGTACAATGTGAGGTGCACAAGTTGGAAAAGTGTAATGGGCAAATGAGAAACTTGGACAATTTTCCAATGTTTTAATGTACATTATGACATTCTCGAATTATAATTGACATAATTACAATGATTTAAAATGGTACCATTCTTTTCGGAAGACTGTAAAGTGTAGTGTATATATATATAAGCAATCTATAGACTTCACACTGTTCAAATGCTTTTTTTAATCTATTTAAACTTTTAGATGATTATAAACTTATATAAAATAATTTATTTACTTATTAATATAATTGCTTACGTTTCTTATTAAATTTTCCAGGTATATGAAGTAAAGAACAGTGCTTCAGTTTGTAAATACTTGCATTTAAGTTCCTTAGAAGTATTAAATGTGTTATTAAAAATGTTTTTCTCTGTGTATTTTGTACAATCTGCAATAATAATAATAGCTTTATCTCTGAATGGGTATCAATCAAAAGCAGAGGAATTATCTCTTGAAAACAGTATTGTTTATGGACCAGGTTTGAAGGCAGACTTTGTGGTTCCTGTCAGGTATTTTTTCATTCAACTTGTCGACAAAAATGGTAAGAAGTAAGTATGAGAGCTTTTTCCATCTTTATTTATCCGTTAAGATAAAGTATATTAAATATAATAGACAATTTACAATCTAATATACAGCATTACAAAATCTCTCCACATTACAGTCTTTTAACTATAACCAATTTAAATTATTGTAAATTGTTAATTATTATCTGCAAGCATTATAATCTATATTGAAACATTGGAAGACTATCAATGTACCCAAGAAAACATTTGTTTTTACGTGAAATTACTATTGTATTCTTGACGTTAATTCCGCATAAGCTTATCCAGTTTCTCATGCTTATGTGGTTGTTACATCCAAGTTTAACGTTTGCCTATTACAGTTTTCTACAGCTCCTGCAGATTAATCACGTTGCACAACGAAGAGTGATTCCGACTACAGACTGCAGAACACAAAATGCCGCCTCTGTATGAAGTGCCATTTTTGTTTACAGTGCTTACTAGAGATAATAGATACTAAGATGTTTGAATGCAGACAGGAGATGAAACTCGGATGTTTACTGTATCGATTGGTGTATGTCGCATACTTCGTGGATAATAATTAACATAATTACAATAATTTAAAACGATAACATTCTTTGTGGAAGGCCCTATATTTAATAATTTGCTAAAATTTAACATCACAATGTTATTTAATTAATTTTAATGGTTTTATTTCATATGCTAATTTTATACAATTATATAAGTCTAGAAAGACCGATTCTAAACTATTTGTATAGCATAACTGATAATGCAATGTTAAACATACACTAAGCAAGCATTATTTTTGTAGATTTTGCTTGTTACTTTAATAAAATTTAAATCTAGCACTTCACATAGTACTTAAAAATATACAAACAGTGTTTTAATTTAATGAGTTAACTCCGTAACAACAAAAGTACACATACACACACATTAAAAATAACAAATGTGTTTAACTAGAGAACAGTAAACAGTGTGTTTGACTGATGAGTATTCTACATAATAATTTAGGGTATCTTAACAATAGAAAAATCTATTCTGTTTACCATTACCACTATTCTAATGGTTATTTATTTGATCGGCTAAGTTTACGACGAGATAGTTTAGTTAAATTTGAAAGTCTATTGTCAAACAAGCATCGCGAGTTAATTAAAATTCCGCTCCGAGCCAATTATTTTTTCTCGTAGACTCGTCTAACTTTGAATAAATTTTCGTAAAGTCTAGGAAAAACAATGACTAGGAGCAGAATTTGAGCTTGCAATGCTTTTATACGAGATTAACATAATCCGTATACTTCAGATTACTTAATACTAAATTCTAATCATTCTGTTTTGTGGAATGCACTTGCATTCGACAAAACAGACATAGTCATGATTAATACAATAAACTAACCTGCATTTTTTACTGTACAGTATGTGCATACATACAAAATCCAGTAATCCGACACCACCAATTCAATATATATCGGATTACAGAGACTCTATGGCATTTATAAATTTAAATAAATCATTATCATATTAAATCAGATTATTTTAAAGTGTTAAGCTTAATTCTAGATTTATTTATGATTATTATATTTAACAAGAGGTGGTAGCCTGGCAGCCTGTCTCCTGCCGAATACCTTAGTAATTATTTAGCTTTAATAGCTCAATAGTGCTATTCTAGCTGTTTGTTTGACACCTATCTTTAGCCAAATTCTGCAATTCTGGTATGAAAATCTTACTTTTTGATATAAACGTAAACCATTGCTGGGTTTTTAACATGTGTATTATTCTATTTAAAATTTTACGTTATTCATTATCACATTATAATTGATTTTAATATGCTGTAACAAAGACATCATTTGAATTTTAATTCTATTTAGATGATACTGTGCATGTAAAATACATATAAGTATTTCTGCTTATAAAATTGTTGTTTGAATGCAAAATTTTTATATATATATAACTTAAACTAAGTGTTAAAAGTCTAAATATTATTGTTTTAAAATTACTACAGTTTAGCTTTGCAGTCTGCAAATAATTTGGAACGATACCAGGTGCTAGATTTTGGCAAATGACACGGTAAACAGTGCGTTAATCAGTCCAAACAACCTATTCTTTAAAGCGTGACGCCTATTTATTTGACAGTGTTTCTGATATATATACACTTCATTATCTGCTGTAACAATTAATGAATGTATAGAAGACATTCTTTTCCAGTTTATATCAGAACTTATAGTTTATTTTCTTATTTCTGAATATGAAATATTGATTATAATACTTTGTAATAAGACTCATTAAAAATATGTAATAGTAAATAAATATTTGTAACTGCGATGTAATTGTTTACTTTTTAGTTTCACGTCTTCGCCTTCTGGTCAGCTGTCTGCTCAGGTGAGGGGTAGTAAGGAAGCATGTCAGGTTTGGATGCAGCTGTTAAACGTTAGAGATGGTAGCTTTATTGTTCGTTATAGACTGTATCGGACTTGCAGCGGTCTTCATATCGAAGTGAAGTATAATGAAAAACACATTGCTGATTCTCCGTACATTGTAGAAGGTACGTTGCCACTTTAAATATCTGTATTCGAAACAGTCATTCTCACTACAAATATCATATTATTCAGGTGATGTGTATCACGAACACTGTTATTGTCCGAAGTCCTTCTTGGATTGGTCGGCATCTCTAGAATGTCCGGATTCTCATCCACAGATTAAAGACGATTTACAGCCCTTTAAGGAGATTGACATGAATGCCGTTCTTAAACAAGCTCTAAAGAGATTCAATAATCCTGGAGCATACAGTATATGCCATTATTCAGTTGTCAGTAATGAGGTAAGTTTAATTTAAACCATATTATAACCTTATTGTTATATTTGAAAATATTACACTCCATTAAAAGTAGTCATATCTAGTACAGTAGAAATTTAGTCATACTAAAACAGGCAGTGTGGCTTGACGGTAACTTGTACCCGATTTACAAACGGGACATGTCAAGTATGTTTGTTAGAGAGGGAGTGATTTGACGGGGTTTTACATAGGAGTGACAAGACAGACTTTAACAAAGAGGATATATGAGCATCAGAAAGATTTGTATAAAGGTACAACATAATATTCAGCATGCAGGCCTACCATAAAGGTGTTGATTGCATTGGAGAAAGAGAAATAGATCAGATGATTAAATATCTCGAAACATTAAAAAGGAAACGGTGATTGTGAAGAACCTTGCAGAGTTTAGAAAGTATGTTACGAGAGCATCAAGATTTTGCATAAAAATACAGGAGTCGTGGTGCTCAGCATGGAGGTCTACAATAGGGATGGCAACGTGCAGTTCGACAAAGCTAAGATAATTCTAAATATTTGGGAGGATGAGGACATTTTGATAGAAGAAAACCTGAAAATGTAATCAAGAGAACCCGATGAAAGATGTTATTAATATCAGGGATGTCGATACTTAATCCATACTTTGTGTTTTTAAATGGTTAATAAGTAAAACAGGTATAGAAATTGTTGATTCTTTGTATCTGCGGTTTGTTAATTGTATGATTTATATAGATTTAGAAAACTTTATTTACTTGAAATAACTATTTGACTTAATGTATTAATATTTTTTTCAGATATACAGGAAGTGCTATGGACAGTATGTTGGCTTTAATATGTTTATGGATTCAATTTTATTATCATTAACACGAAAGGTATAATTTATATATAATTTTATTCAAATCCTTTTAAACAATGCACACTTCAAACTTTCTAGATTGTGTTTAATTAACCAATGTTTACTAACTTAACCAAGCATTAGTATACCTTTCAATGTAGTCTATTATGAAATCTTGAGTAGTTACTAAGAAATTTTAGTAATTTATTAAGTAGTTTACAATGGAAACATGAAGATATTACATTAATATGTTTATACACTACTTAGATATTTTGAATAAACAGTGTTTAATAAAGTAAATACTTCAAAAAAGACTTATTGTACAGAAATATTCACATGTCAGCAACACGCAGATACTGATAATCCTTAGTTAATGTTTATTTTTATTTTATTTATGTAAAGACAAAACACTGTGGCCATTGACCTTTATCAAGTGTGTGTTAAAACTACAGTAGAGTCCTGCTAATCCAAACGTGTTTCAGTTGGTGGAGAGGAAATTTTTTAGCTTGCAAAATATACGTTTTTTTTGTATTTTCCAGTTGAATTTAAATGGTATTAATGGTACAAAAATATTTAGAATTCCACAACAAAAAAATTGTATTTTATTGTAGTACTGTACTAATACTGTACAAAATTAATAAATTAGTGTTTGACATGGCCTATTAAAACAGCAGATCTATACTTTAATTACACACAAAAACAGAAACAAAAGTCGTTGATGGTGTTGGATCTATATAAACCGGACCTGTTTTACTGCTTACTTCTGCATTATTTCAATTATTCGGCTAATTGAACAGGGTTTAGTCCCAATTAGTTCGGACTAGCGGGACTCTACTGTAGTGTGAAAACATTAAAATGAAGATTAATAAAGTAAATATTGAGGAAGGATCTTGATATAGACTTTACCTTGATATAATATCTTCTGTTTGACAGATACAACATGTGCCACTGTAGAGGTTTATCACTTAATCCACAAATTTGAAGTTTTTTCAAGCAGTTGAAGATCTATACCTGTGGTGGTCAAACTGTGGCTCTTCCAGACCATTACTGATGCTCACATATATTATAGAATGATGATAATTATAGTATTTTTAACTGTATGTACAGGTAATAGATTGCCTGTCAGAAGATAGACAATATATGACTTCTATTGCTGCAAGGAAGGACTGATCCAAATGCATGTGATTCGTCTAGTTCTTTAGTTACTGTTTCTTTAAAGTACATTAATGCATCTACAGTAGAAAAGTTTTGCTTGTAATCACACTGATTATGAGTAATTTTGTATCTATTTATTTATATATATATATAATTATAAATACAAATCACATTAAATTGAATATAAGTTACATGAAAGAACATTAACTGAACATTATTCCTAAATTATTATCATGTTGTCAATACAATAGATATGCTTAAATGATGTAGTGATTTTCATAATATCTGAAGGTAAACGTATGGAAATTAACTTTATTTTTAGGTGATCTTGCCAGACGTAGAATTTATCATCAATTTAGGCGATTGGCCTCTAGAGGAGACGTCCAAAAATCCGCTTCCAATTCTCTCTTGGTGTGGTTCGAAGGGTTCCAAAGATATCGTAATGCCCACGTACGATATAACCGAATCTACATTGGAAATGATGGGAAGGTAACATTTGCATTTTTTTCTTAAATTAATAAATATTAAAAATTACTCATTTTATAATGCTTATTTTATAGAGTTATGCTAGATATATTAGCAATTTATGGTAACTGCGAAGATCCGTGGGAAAATAAGACAGAGGTGGCATTTTGGAGAGGCCGAGATAGCCGGCAAGAACGACTGGATCTGATCACTCTCTCTCGCAGATATCCGGATTTAATCAATGCGTCTCTGACGAATTTCTTCTTCTTTCGTGACGTAGAAGAAAAATATGGTCCAAAAGTGAAACCCGTTTCATTTTTCTATTTTTTTAAGGTGAATGTTTTTGATTATATCAGCTTTCGGAACCATAAGTGAGAATTGAATAGAGTTGAATGCATGAAAGAATTAGTTTTAGGTGCCTTATCCCCTAAGGTTAGTGGCTGATATTTTCAAGACACACTATTTCTTCCTCTATATACCTCAACTGTAAATATTTATTAAAGAATTCTGATGATTTCTTGCCTTTTGGTACTTTCCAACCTCAATTTTGCCCATTTATCATCATATTCTGCATTGATAATCATAAATAATTCAGCGTACTGTACATACAACAGTGTATAATACACAGACACCAAACTCTCGGAAATCACTACATCGTCTGTTGATTGTAGTACCACAAATCTAGGCCATGTATACGTAACATTACATTAATTTTGAGTAAATTAATATATTTTTAAATACAGTAATTGCACTATCGTAATTATACGTCGTGAAACGTTAAATATGTATTATTCGATGAACAAAACACAGAACTAAATGAGTTTCTGGATTATCTGAAAGATTGTTGCTCCCATTGGGTTTTTACTGTATACAATAACTACAAAAAGTTCTTTTCATTTTTTAAATAAAACTTACAGTTGAAATATATTTATGTGGGTATTAGATGAGTCAAATTCCTAAACTGTTAAGAAAATAAATGAGGGATTTCTGAGGAAACAAAGGAGAATGGGAGAGGGAGACGACAGTTGGAGAAGGCACGACGAGGACTGAAGACAGTTACGAACACTGGAACATTATTGTCCTTTCTATTACTATTCCTACATTTATGCGTTTTTCAGTTGTATGCTTTTGCTCTATTTACATTTTTGGCTAATTTAATTATGCTCCATTTGAATATGGAAAGAAATTCCAACATTCCAGAACTATGATTACAAGCCATACACACTCAATTCAAAAATTTATTTAAATTTATGCGGCTTGTAACTATAGTTCCAGAGTTATGGTTTATTCTTGTATTCAGATGGAACCCGACGATGGTTAATTAAATTAGCTGATAGTCACTTGTTCTTGCGTAAATTTTATGCCGAATATTATGTTTTGTTTCAGTATAAGTACCAGATTAATGTTGATGGAACTGTGGCTGCTTATCGTTTCCCGTACCTTTTGGCCGGCGACAGCGTGGTGCTGAAACAAGATTCCGATTATTACGAACACTTCTACAACATGCTAACGCCTATGGTCCATTACATTCCATTTAAAAGGGACCTTTCAGATCTGGTGGAGAAACTAAAATGGGCAAAGGAACACGACGAAGAAGCCAGAACAATCGCACAAAATGCCAGACACTTCACTCGAGACAATCTCCTTCCTCACAATATTTTCTGCTATTATGCTCTTCTACTTAAGGTAAAAATAAAATTTACATGTTACAATAATTGTAGATTTTTTTACTAAATAATCTTTTAATGTAACAATGTAGGAATATTCTAAACTTCTAAAGAATAAAGTTGAAGTACATTCGGGCATGGAGCACGTTCCTCAGCCAAAAGACAAACCAACTTGCGAGTGTAAGGATAACCAAATCCCCGTAAGTATAGAGCATTTTGTGATTTAAATTTTCGTTTAATACGTGGCTACTACCGGATCTTTTTTCTGCAAATTTGGCTCTTCTACCATTCGATAGATGGTTTTATATTTTGCTCAAATTATAGGTGCAAAATTACCAAAATCTAGTGTTTTAATACCATAGGAAGGACAATAAATTAAATCAAGTATCTATATTTTGCATTATATTTAGGCTATAGTTAGATTAAAATTGACCAGAACGAGAGTTGAACCCACAATTACTACTTACTCATACGGATGTTACTTGTTGTACTATGCAGACTTGTCTGTTCTTCACTTCCAGACTTACAATTAAATTAGATCATATAACAATACAGGTTAATCGCTGCCGCCACGCTGACTGCACTGGCATTTGCGATCCACCCTGGCTCTCGGCCAAATTCGAGCCATATCTGCAGAGTTTCAGGTACAAGTCCTGCTCTAGGTCAAGCGTTTTTTCCGAAAATTTCTAAACTAATTTCTAATTGTTAACCTTGGACCTCTTCTTGCTTTTCTTTACCTAAATTTAGTAATTATATTAAGGCTAATTATTAATTAATTAATGTAATTCTGCTTTACTCTCTTACAGGTCGGACAGTTGAGAAGAAAAGAAGAACTATAATATAATTTTTTCTATGTAANTTTTTTTAATGTATTACTTGGCTTTAATTTGAGTATGTTTTTCGCGTCGGAACGAATTATTTGTTTTTACATGTAATCGTATGGGAAAAGATGATCCACCTTACGACATTTTCATGATACGATCTCAGTTTCGGAATGGATTAATTTCGTATCCTGATGTACCACTGTAGTAAATACTGAATTAACAACAGATGTTTTTAATATTTTACAAAAGCAGTATTACTTATTATAAACAGAGAACCATATTTGATGATGTTACAGTTTTATGTAGTGCATGTAACTTCCATATTCTTAAAAGCAGGCTAATACAATTGATCTTTCCCAATATAAATTCACAAGGACCAATTTTTACTTAAATTTCGCCAACATAATCATTTACGTAGGGCCTTAATCCTCCTAAACAATGCATTATTTAAGTTAGAATACAAAATTTTACAATCCATACAGAATTATATAACAAGATATTTGAGAAAAATTTATAGGCCAGTATCAAATTTCACACACATTTAAGTGTCCAAATTCTTTACCAATCCGGGAAACCAGTACAATTTCTCGCTTCCGCCTTTATCATCGACCCACGCCAGTCCTTCTTTTACGAGATCCTCCAGTGCGGTCCGAACGCGATGCTCCAACCACTTCTTCTCTTTGGCCAGGGCCGAAGCAGAGACGTAACCCAGACCCTCTGCCTGCTGGATCACGGCCATGTGGTCCACGTTCAACTCTGCCGGGATGGACTGCACTATCAGTCTGCCGCCGGTATGTATAAAGGCGAAGCCTTCGCCCAGAACCTTCAGCTTCTCGACGGCTCGCCGAATATCGTCGGGGCCGACGTCGTCCTGCTTTCTGCCGCGGGAAGCGATGACCCGCGCGGTCAGCTCGTCCAGCGGAATGATGCCGCCGTTCCTATAGCGAGTGGCCAGGCACACCTCTACGATTTGCACTCCCAGTTGATAGTAGAAGTCCCCAACTCCCAACATGTCAGCCCAGAATCCTTTGCTGGATGCCAGTGGATCCACGCCCACGCTGGCGCACATGTCTTGAAACTGGCGACGAAAATGTGGATCCTTTCGGATGTCAGACTTGTATTTATCTGCGAACTGCTGGAGATTTTCACGAAATGCCTCCATTTGCTTGCTCATCTGCTCCAGTTGCTCGGCTGCTAACTCGTATCCCTTGTCTCTGAATCGTGTCTGAGTTAATTGCTGCTTTTGTATGGCACCTACGCCACGTCTCTTCATCTTTAACGATTAGACTCTACACAATTAATATATTATTAAGCTTACAAACGTGTCCGTTCGTCGCTCACGCCTACATTCATCAGAACGTCGCCATTACTGCCGTGTTACGTAAACGCATCCGTCCAGCTGGCGTGTTACGTCAACACGCCAGAAATCCGCCAAACGTAAAAATCGTATTAAGGTATAATTAATGATTTAAAAATATAAGTTTTGGTAACGTTAAAATTATAATTTCAAACAAGTTACTTAACGATAAAAATTATTTCTCTGTAAATTAATCACTTAAAAGAAATTCCTTCGCATCCATAACAACACGAACGTTACTATGGTAACTCGAAGTGTCATAACAAAAAATAACTGATCGTTCAGAAATTAATCTCAAAATTTATAAATTATTTCTAAACTTTTCATTTACGTAATTATTTATAATCGATTTTCTCATAAACTTTTATGCAAAATTCGTTTTTTCCTCCTCCTACGCTAAAGCAATCGTTACCATGGCAATAACACGTTCATTTTCCATTTAAAAAAAAAAAAAAAAAAAAAAAAACTTNGTTAACCCCATTAGGACTATTGTAGAGAACATGAGGTTGAGACCAAATCCGGACAAACCCCTCTTGGCACTTTCTATAGGTAAGTGGCGTAACTCTTCTCGTAGATCTACATTCTTACTATAGTAACACACCATAATTTACCATGAAAAGATGATAAATCGTACCAAGAAATGCTGTTCACTCAATTACAATAGTAAGACTAACCGTTACTATTATGGTAGTAACGGTATGATGTGTATCCAGTATGGTCGTAACCTATGGTAGAATTGTTTTACATACTTTTGCTAATGCTATTATACTACTACTACACTAGTGGAGTTACAATGGTAGTAGATACTACCAATGGTAGTATGATGGTAACCGTTACTACCACTAGTGTGGTAGTAACAGTTACCATCATAAGATAAAATCTACTTATAGTATTAATTTTAGCTATGTTACGTTTCTCTAACGACGATTCATCCAGTTACTGTTACGGTAACAACGCATTTCTTTAGTACTAAAAATACCTCATTCGTCTGTTACGTGTGCAATTTAAAACTGTTGTTTGTATTATTTAAAGAGTAACGTCATTAATACTGCAGTAGTATCTTAGGAGAAGTTATTATTAATTCAATTAGATGTAGAGCGTAACTGATTCAGTAGGATGCAGGAGAAAAATTTAGATAAATAGCATAAATTTCTTATGTTTCTCCTCTAAATACTCTATCTGGGGGGAAGCATTCTTTTCATACAGGCGGTCCCGTAGAAAGGTGACAAAGGATATCATATTGTCCTTACTACTAACATTTTTCGTACGCAGGGGATCCTACTACTTTCGGAAACATGGATGCATGCGAAGAGATCACAGAAGCAGTAGTGGAAGCAGTGAGATCACGAAAATACAACGGTTATGCACCCAGTCAAGGTATAGAACCGAGCATAAACTGTTTGAGGGTGTTTTCTCGCCATTCACAATTAACTCCTTCCACCATTTTTCAGGATTCCAGGATGCACGAGAGGCCGTAGCTGCTCACAGTTCGTACGCAGATTGCATGGTTGAGTCCAAGGTACTCCTATCGAGGATCTTGCAGTCGATGTATGACGTAAATCTGATTTAGTTTGATGTTGCAGGATGTGGTACTGACCAGTGGATGCTCTCAGGCATTGGAATTTTGCATAAATGTCCTTTCGAACCCGGGCCAGAACGTGCTAATACCAAGACCAGGGTTTCCTCTGTACAGAACCATAGCAGAGGGTATAGGAGTGAAGATAAAATACTACGACCTCTTGGTGAGTGTAGGATCTTTATACGTCATTCTAGTGTTTTCTGGTGAGTTTAAGACCCGATTTATATATATATATTTAGCCCGATAAGGAGTGGGAAGTGGATCTAAAACACTTGGAGAATCAGATCGATTCGCAGACCTCTGCTATTGTCATCAATAATCCTTCTAACCCCTGTGGATCGGTATATTCAGCATCACATCTCTCGGATCTACTACACATCGCTTCTAGGAATTACGTACCCGTTATTGCTGACGAGATCTACAGCACGTTTGTAAGTATTCACCGTACAAAACCCGAAAATTTAGCCTCAATTAAACCCATATCCTTTCTAAGATTTTTCCAGGGGAGACCTTCTACCCATTGTCTTCGTTGTCTAAAGACGTGCCAATTCTGACTTGCGGTGGCATCACTAAAAGGTATAATTTTACATTTACTTTACTTCTCCCCTGCGCTTCTAGTGTGATGGTAGCGTTAATGCTGCAGCAGTAACAATGTTCTTCCCTTCCAGATTTATGGTTCCGGGATGGAGAATGGGGTGGATCATCATCCATGACAAAAATGAAATTTTTGGAGCTCAGGTAGGTGTTTTTACCACTTTAAAGTCGTTTAACACTCCCCGACACGCTCAGAATTTTCGCTCGAACAGATCAGGAATGGGCTGCAAAATCTGTGCCAAAGAATAATGGGCTGCAACACCATCGTTCAGGGTGCACTCCCCACTATTCTCAACGATACACCTCACCAATTTTTCGCAGAGTGCATCAGTACGGTTAAGGTAAGAACACTGGATCCTATTTTTTACGTTAAATAAAACCCTAAAATCCTCCGTTTTCACTAGAACAATGCGGAGACCGCATACACCGCTCTTCATCACGTACCAGGTCTCATGCCTATAATGCCTGCAGGTGCCATGTACATGATGGTAAGCCTACCAAACCAATAAAATCTCTTGTTACATACCCAACAGGTCGCTGAAATTCGCTGGTTCTCTTACAGGTTGGGATCGACATGCCGCATTTTCCAGAATTCCGCCATGATCTAGACTTTGTAGAGAAGTTAGTGTCGGAGCAATCGGTGTTCTGCTTACCCGGAAAGGTTAGAAGATGCATTTTATTCACGTGCTATCCCCTAAACCAGCTCCCTCATTTTGATACAGGGCGGGTGGGACGTGTAAGTATGCAGTTGAAGTGACTCGTGGAGCTGGTTTGACATGATGAATGGATCTTGTAAATGCCGAAATGCCCTACTTTCTTGCAGTGTTTCGAGTACCCTAACTACTTCCGGATCGTGCTGACGGTTCCAGAGGACCACATTCGAGTGGCGTGCGTCCGAATAGCCGAATTTTGCTGCGATCATTACATCGCTTCCGGTTCTATCAACAACGACAACCTCCTGGTCAAGTATGGCTTGATGGCGAATAAATATTAAATTCCTCCCCTCCCCGAAGCTTAAAAGGTTTCCAAATTTAAATATTGTACCATATCTAGCCCACCTTTATGTATTTTTGTCGGTTTAATAAAAAGAGGAGCACTACCACTGTTGGGGTGCAGTTTAACGGTTACAAGTCGGTAATGGATACTTCTTGTAAACAGTTATGGGGCCTACCACTTTAAACATCTTAGTAGTGCAGTAAATAAAGATGCTACTCAAGATTGTCTCTAATGATCTCTTGCTATAATTAAGCCCTGAAGGGTTTGTGAGGACCTTTAAAAACCCTCCTCTCAGGACAGTAGTGGAGCATTATTTTATTTAAAACCGTTAAATTGTATTTCACTAACGTTAGTAAGTGAATTCGGTGATTAATACTAAAGTTTAAAGATTTTTTAAACAGATGTTTCTTCGTTATAACGGTTTTTGACAATTCATTGTCTTTAGTAACCGTTTTCTTTTGTTCAGTCGCGATTCTTACTTTCTTGTTCCTTTAACACAGGAAGAAACTATTACAAAAATACTAATTGGGAGGTTAATAGAGGGTTTTTTTTAAGGGAAAGTGTTCTTTCTGGTGTCTTTCACTGTCCGTACTAAAAGATTAGAAAGGACTTTTTCTCCTCTTTTTTCCCTTTCTTTACACCTTTACACTTTACCTTCCCTCACTACACCAGTACACTACATCCTTTTCACTTTGATCTTTACGCCTCGTATTTCATTTTGAATCTTTACACCTTACCTTTCCCTCTGTTTGCACCTTTACCTTTCTTCTATATTTGTTCCTGTTCACTTTTCTTTCCCTCTCTAAACCTTTACACTTCACTTTTCCTTCTCTGCACCTTTCCACTTTACTAAATTTCCCTATAACATAACAGTTACTACCGTAATAATTTTCCTCTGTCATGAGTATTTTCAGCAAAAATTGTCAATCTGATGTGTTTACGAAGGCTCAAAGTGTCGACTTTCTTCCACTATGACAGCCTTTGTTAAGGTATCTGATGCCTTATGGAATTTATTAACACCTAAAAGCACGAGATAGTGTGCAACAGCAGCTTTTTTATCGCATAGAAAAAAGGTTTTATTAGTTTGCCTGACATTATAAGGCATCTATATTTCGAAGCCTTTTAAAAGAGTAGAAAAAATTAGCTTGATTTGATGTTTTAAAATTAGTAAATCAAGTTTAAACTCGTCGAGTCAGGCTAAATTTTAAAGAGATTAAGGCAAGAATAAACTACAGAAAGGCTCTTATCTGAGGATAAGAGACGATGTTATAGCTTAGTGTAGCCTTAAATTATTGACCTCTATCAACCTACAAGAATTAAAAACTGCAATAAAATAGGAGCTAGCTACTCTATCAACCTAATCCTCAAAGAATAGCCTTCCAATAGTTTAATTTTTTGCCTTAATGTTAAAATGACAACTTAAGGCGAGAAATAATTATTGGAAGGCTTTTATATGAGTCTAAGAGCCGATATTATAGCTAGCTCGTACGTTAATTGCACCTTTATATTCTTAAGAGTTAATAAAAGGCGTTTCAAGAATTTAAGGTTACACTAAGATACGCGCTAACTACAGCAGCAAGCTAGAAACTATACCTAAAATAAGAGCCTGAATAGACTTAACTATAGGAGGGCTCTTTAAAATCCTCCTAAGAGCCCAAGCAGTCTCATGGAAGGCTGCTTGGGGCCTATTCTACGAGACAGAGCTATTAGCGCAGTGTCATAGAAGAGGCCGTAAGTAACCCTCTACAAATCAATTTCTCGTAAGCGTGCCTTATTCGTTGAGTTGAAATCGCGACTACTCGATTCTAAATTTACCATTTTGTGCCCTTGGTGGACCCTGTAAACAAGTCGGAATCGATCAGAATTGCCGATAGCCTTTTCGAAATCGATTTCTGTCCTTGAGCATTACTTCATCATCATTCAGCAAACGTATCGACAATCACCGATAACCTTCCAAAAATGCAATATCGATACGCGGAGGCCTTCTAAACTTGTTTAGCAGGAAACTCCTAGAAGAGCCTGTGTTAGAAAAAATAGGAACGGGGAGAAAAGTTAAATAATGTTTCAACTTTCCCAATGCGCCAGAGCACTTTATTAATAAAAAATAAAATAAAATAAAATAATAATAAATAAAAAAAAAAAGATAGAGAGTAGAGATGAGGCCCACTCCACTTAATTAATCAGCTACAATCTCCCTAATTGATTTTTACCACCCTCCCCCTGCTCTTAATTTTGCTAATCTCCCGATCTTGTTTCTAAGTAGAAAGTTTCCATTTTGAAAATTCTTATAGAAACTCCCGAAAGGGCCTTAGAAATTTAGTTTCTAAAGCTGCGGGTCTTTAGAAACTTGCCTTTTAAAAACGCATAAGGGTCTTAGAAATTCGGTTTTTAAAGCTGCAGAAGGGCCTTAGAAATATGGTTTATATAGCTTCAGAAGGGCCTTAGAAATATGGTTTATAAAGCTGCAGAAGGGCCTTAAAAATTGCCTTTTAAAAACGCATAAGGGTCTTAGAAATTCGGTTTTTAAAGCTGCAGAAGGGCCTTAGAAATATGGTTTATATAGCTTCAGAAGGGCCTTAGAAATATGGTTTATAAAGCTGCAGAAGGGCCTTAAAAATTAGGTTTATAAAGCTGCAGAAGGGCCTTAGAAATTAGGTTTATAAAGCTGCAGAAGGGCCTTAGAAATATGGTTTATAAAGCTGCAGAATGGCCTTAAATATGGTTTATAAAGCTGCAGAAGGGCCTTAGAAATTTGGTTTATAAAGCTGCTGAAGGGCCTTAGAAATTTGGTTTATAAAGTTCTAGAAATTCACTTTCTAACAACAGTTATTAATACGTCTATAGTAACAATACCGAGCACAGTGTAAAGCCTTGTGTTAGCTACAGTTAAATACAATAGCAACTTAGTGTTAGAGCAATATCAAGTAGTAACACAACTTGTGATAGTGTGCATATGGCACTTTTTAATTATGTTAATTGCAATTTGTTACTGTAGTAGTATAAGTGTTAATCGTAACTAACATAATTAGCATTCTGTTGTCTTTAATATCATTTTGACATCATTATATGCTGCAGTAACATCAGTAACATTCAAATGATACTATGGTTACTATATCGGATCTGTTACGGATTTAATTAACAGATGATACTAATTGAACATTACGTAATTAGCTACAGTATTCTGTTGGATTAGTGTTCTTCATCTAGGTGATCGCGAACTACGAGAAACTAGTGATGCTCTATATTATATTAGAACCTGATTCAAATCAGTGTTCCTCAATTTAGGGCTCGCGAACTACGAGAGGATTATAAGAAACTAAAACGACGCCTTATATTATAATAGAAGAGATTCAGTTTAGTGTTCCTCAACTCGGCGATCGCGAACTATGCAAAGTTTTCATTAGAGAAGAGTCAACGTAACGTTATATTATATCAATGACGGCTACGAAGCAACATCGACACTATGTTATTGTGCGTGGCATAATTAATTGAAGGCATTACGTTGCACTTAATGCCCGTTTAATGTATAATTGTAATTTAAAATAATATAAAAAAATACTACTTTAGTACTAAACTGCAATTATCCGTGCTAATTTGTAATTTGAATGTATATATAATGATAATATAATCAAGTCCAGTTTAGTGTTCCTCAACCGGACGATCGCGAACTATACAAAAATTCTTCCGTTAGAACAACGTGTTTGTGAAATTGGTAATAAATAATTTAATCAGACAATGGAACAGAGAATAAGTTGCACAGCTAAATCCTTAACACATGTGATACTGATTGAACACCTATCATTATTTAAACCCACGAAATGTCGTTTTATAATAATAAACTGGAACCTGGTTGAGGAACAGTTTAGTGTTCCTCAACCAGGTTCCGGTTGAGGAACACTAAAATGTTCTTAGTTGAGGAACCCTAAACTGTTCCTCAACTAAGAACATTTTAGTGTTCCTAGTTGAAAAACAGTGAGTTTTTAGTTGAGGAACAGTTTAGTGTTCGTCAACCAGGCGATCGCGAACTACGCGAGGATATAAGAAAACTGACGCTATATATTAGAACCCGGTATAGATTAGTGTTCCTCAACTAGGCGATCGCGAACTACTAGCTTCTACTAGAGCAGGATAAATGTGACGTTATAAATCACGTGAGTATAAATAATTAAAGTGTTGCCTGTGTTAGAACACTAGAAATTTTTAAACAATTAAAAAAACACGTAAAAGATAAAAGGTAATTTTAATATTTACTGGTTAAAGTGAAAAAATTATACTTGAATGTATCTATAATATTCGAATTTTACTTCATAAATATTCACAGAGATAGTTTTCCTGTTGCAGACGGCCGGAATGTACATTGGTATACGCCCTTTTCTGATAAATTCATTTATTTATAAATTAATTAGCAATGTAAATTGGGGAGGAATTAAAAACCAATAAAAACCTGTTGACTAACAAAGATACGAAATTTCGATAAGGTCCTCATACCTTTCCTCGTTGACGAAAATAATTTGTTATAGCTAAACAAACAGAACGTACCTCCTGGAAAGAAATAAAAACAAAATAATAATAATAATTACATCAGTCTCCACCAGATGGTGCGAGTTGCCATACGGATCCGAGCTTATATCGATCGGTTTTCGGAAGTGGAAAATGAAGCCGGGGTGAAAGGTCAAACGTCGTCGCAACCCTCGTCCAATATTTTACGGATTTTTCCCTGTAAATGCTAACTTATAAATGAAAAAAAAAATTAAAATACGGAAAAAAATGTATTAATTCATTTATTTGGCACTAGATGGCCGAACGGAGCTCGGGGGTGAGGATTTTTAAGCGTTTTATTTACAAATTTCCGAATTATTTAAACTTTTTTTTATAAAATATCCCGTAATTTTAGGTGTATTTTACGGATAAAAGTAAAGTTTTAAGTTATGTCTTTAATTATTCCAAATAAAACGTATTAGTATCCTTAAACACCATTAATTAGAGTTTAATTGCTAATATAAGTAAAGGCATGCAGATGAACGGAATTGTCCGTTTTCGGACGATGTGCGGGGGGGATGCTGTACGTTTGTTGTTCTCAATGCTTCGTCCACGCTGGCGTGTAAATTCTTTACATCCATAACAGACGCTAACACTGTATATACCGCAGCGCCTTTTTGTATCCTGGCGTTACATTATTTAATGAGACGTCGCTGCTTTTCTCATCCATCCCGACCAGACGGGAATGCCGCACGCTGTAGCACTTTCTGTGGGTATATTTCTGCCGGTTATAATTTAATAAAAGCTTCTACATGTGTTGCTGTAAGTTTGGCTATAAATAAACGCCGTCCGCGGTCTATGCTAATCCTCAGATGCAGATCAGCGGGTGTGTGCCAACCCGCGGTGCCAAACGCTATAATTCTTGTCGTTGTAGCCGCTACCATCTCTTACAACCATCATTGTGTTAGTGCAGCGATCTTTGGATCATTAAGTCCCCTGGTATTATGCTGCTGAATGATCATAAAGTGAGTTTGGTCGAGATGTTATGACAAGGTCGCCCGCTGAGTAACAGCTTGTGACAATGGAAAGTGCTGTTGTGCAGTGCTGCCTCTACCGATATTATGTTGTAGTGCAGTAGTGATGACGATCGCTGTCTGTTACTTTAACTAAAAATGTCAGGCTGTGGGGTTGGTTCGTCGGTAGCCACGGTTGAAATAAGTATCTAAACCCTATTACGAAGCAATTCAGTAACATTGATTAGAGGGCGCAGAAAGGAAACAAAGTTATTTACTATCTGAGACTCGAGAAAAACTCTAAGAAGGGAATTCAGCTATAGCCTACAACCCCCTAAATCCACCCCTGATAAGGAAATTTCTACAGCAAACTGTAAAGGAACATTTTAATCGCCATCTTGCTAATTCAGAGTTTCATCTTCAAACGTTACAGTTTTAGTAAGGATAAAGAAGAGCGAGATCCGAAAAAAACGAGTCGCAAAGAAGAATTTGATAAGTTTAAACCCCCGAAAAAACAGAATAAAAATATGGAAGTGAATTCAGTAAGGAGCAATATGTTCGTGCAGAACAATATCCCAGAGCATGATGACTTAGTCGTAAGCACATTTTCCCTCCTCATAACACGTCAGTTTAAATTATCGTCAGGACCCTCTGCTGAGATACAGGGTTCGTGGTTCTCAGTCGGGGTTGCTCTCTATTGTAGTTATTTTCTCCACTTTTACTTTTACCATTTGCTTGTTTATGAAAGAGTCTCGATAATTCTGTATTTGTGAATTTCCTTTGAAAGCTCGTATACTTGATGGATGTTCTCAGTTATGAATGGAATTTGGTTTGCAAATTTATTCTCATCCCCTTCAATACTTTCGGCGTGCATTTCTTGGATCCGTACAATTCATTCTTTATTCTTTCAAAACCGCTTCCATCTTTAAAAAAATAAATGGCCAAAATTCCTTACAAATAAGTAAATAACATACAGACAGGCAACCTTGCCAGGGCAAGGAGCAGACACGCTTTTAAATTACTATAATTTAAGTAAAGTACAATGAATTCTACAAATCAAGTACGACATAGCATTTTTTTTAGTGTTTTTTCTTGACTGACGGGTAAAACAAGGCTGAATGAAGGGAAAAAAGTGCAGAGTAATCACGAGATCAGTGTACGCTTCACCATTTATGCAACCTGGACCGTTTAGGAATGGATTAATTCGATGGTTGCCTTTCGAAAAACAACGTTAATCATGACAAAAGGTTATTGATAGTTGTGTAACATTTTATGCTAAGAGAATGCATTATTATTTATTTGTAAACGAATAAATTGTAAGAAGGTAAAGACATTAATTGAACCACGAATTGACTAATTTGAGGCAATGATTTGTATTCAATTAAGCTTAAATTATATGAACTGTAGCTAGATGTTTAATTGACAGAAAGACTTTCTCAGTAACATTCGGAGAGACTTGCATGTCGGTTCTGAAACTATAAAAGTGCCTTTCTCTTTTTTCATATTTACAGGTTACAGTCTTTCTGTTAAT